CTTTGGTACCTTACACAGATTCGGATTGCCTGTTATCACAAGTTGATATCACTTCCCAATAATACCTACTAACGAAAAACTATAAGAAAATAAAAGATTAACTTCAAAATGAATCAGTGTAAAATAAACTCAGGAGTATCGAGAAGAAAACTCAAACCGTAATTCACCGATTGAATTTGCATCCAGAAGGTCTGAGAACAGCATGCATAATCTCATAACAGATCCGAAAATTCTTCATGTCATTAAGCACTAACCCCATGTGTGATCCCTTCCTTTCTTCCTTTCCCACAAAGGACACATACTCTCAAACAAAGTTCTGAATGTTGTACAGTTGAGAGATGCGCCCTATCAAGTGCCTGGAACAGCCACTATCAACAAACCGAAGTCTGATGATATGCCTCCATAGCTGTTCCGACACCGAGCGGGATCAGTTGGTCTTTGGAACCCAATCCATTTTGAAACTGGGTTGACCTTTGTCATCTGTGCACGGAACTCTCTCCCATGACATATCCTGCTTATCACAAACAGAAGATGTAGAAATATTAGAATCATTAGAAGATTTGGAAGAGTGGACCTTCGGAACCCATCTGTAGTTGGGTTTAACGCATTTCTTGTTCGATCCGATGGGTGCCTCGGCACTTGATTTTGAACTTGAAGCCAATCTTTGAGTTGACTTTGATTTTGGATTGGGCTTTTTGGCCGACATTCCCTTCTTGACCTTGGGAGTTGGATTCTTGGTCTTGTGGGATTGATTTTTGGCCTTCGTGGCATTCCAATCGCCATTTTCTGAACGTGGCCTCGAAGGGTTTCCATTATAGAATCTCCCTCTTGGCGCATTCTTCCAGCCTTGTGCGTAGTAGGGAACATATGCGCGATTTGGACAATTTCTGGCAGTGTGTCCAGGTGTTCCACAGTGAAAACATGTCTTTTTCTTCACTGTGAAGTTGTTTCTTCCTGCCCCTGGTGGCGTGTCCATGCCTTGTCTCAGGTTGTTCCCACATGCACACTTGCAACAAGCCGTCAGTTTCGCTTGTTTTGGTGGGCTGTATTTCTCAACAGCAGGTTTGTTAGGAGTAACTGAGTTAGAAGCAACAGATTCAGAGTTCAAGTAGTCATTGGATTGTTCAATAGTTTTCTCCTTGTTCTCATCCTCTACTACTTTACCTGCACCGGAAGTAGAATCATTAGAAATGTTCACCTCAACCTTTTCTGGCACAACCACAACAGGTTTCCCATATTGAAGATGTGCCTCCCTATCAATTTCTTCCTGTGTCACAGGGATGGATATATAGTTATGACTGAAAGGGGGAGGAACACTATCATACCCTAGACCCTTGTTTTCATTATCTTTGAATTTTAATTGGTTTTCAAATAAGGACTCGACTGTCTTACTTGACGCAGTATAATTTTTGAAACTAACATCTGTTTTTCCACACTTAATTTTCAAAGCGTCAAGTTCTTCAGTTACAGCAACAAGTTTTTTCTTAATGTGATCGTAATTTTCACACTTGTTGTTGTAATCTTCTTGTAATTTCCTAAAGTCCTTAGTCTTGGCCTCTAATTGAGCTTTCAGAGGTTTCTGACCTTTCCTAAGAGTATAGCCTTCGTATTTGAGGTCCTCATTTTCTCTTTTTAATAAATCGATTTGATCTCGGAGAAATTTAATAGTAGTATCACAAGATGGAGTACATGAAACTTCATTTACCGGAATTGATGTGGAACTCATTTTTTTTATTATAATTATATATATATATATATATATATATATATATATATATATATATATATATATATTATTTTTTATTTTTTATTTTTTATTTTTAATTGCCCTTTGACTTAAAAACCGAGAAAGTCAACCTTCAAATTCAAATTTAAAAGTCAAACTTGAAAAATCAAACCGAAAGGCTAAATTTGAAAATTTAAAAGTTAAACGAAAAAGTCAAAGTGTAAAGTCAAAGGTCAAACTTGAAAGTCAAAAACCAAATTTTAAAGTCAAAAGTCAAAAATAAAAATAAAAATTGAAAACTAATTTTTTTTTGGTTGAAAATTGAATTTAAAATTAGAAGAAATTGAATTTTGGGTTAAATGTGTCAAATTTTCGAAATTAGGTGCGAGTAGGAGTGTTTTTCAATTACAATCGTAAGGTTTGAACCAACAGGCAGCCTAGCTGAGTTGGAAAGGCGTGTTGATGCTAAAGCGAGGGACCCGGGTTCGATCCCCGGCACTCTAAAAAAAAACGTTTTTTTTTTATATGAAGGCTGCTGCTTCCGAAGTGTATATAGTTTAAGCGAGCGAGATGTTTCACAGGTTCCTTGGTAGATCAACTGGTAAGAGGCGTGTTTGAAGACTCAAGGGACCCGGGTTCGATCCCCGGCTGCCCCAATTTCCTTTCCCTTTTTATGTGAAGCTGATGCGAGGACGAGGGCTGCTTGTGATCGAGACTGAAGCTGCAATGCGAGGATGCTGGACAGTACACGTGACCGAGGCTGACCGAAAACTCGGACCGAAAATCCGACAGAAAACCCTTCAAAGACCGAAAACTCATCGCAGATTACGTGAAAAACAGCGTTTTTCACCACTTTTTGCTCCAAAACTCGATCAAAAACTCGTTTTTATGAAAAACGCGAAGAACAAACCCCCTTTATTTTGCCAAGATCTATCCAAAAAAGCAAAAATCTCTTCAAAATAAGATCAAATAAGCTCCAGATCTTATAGAAAAGCAAAGTAGAAACCATATTTTTGACCCAACAAAAACATACCAAGTTCATTACATGAAAATACTATAGGAGTATTTTAGGTACTATAAATAACTTATGTGATAACTTAAAACACCCTTACGGATAGATCTATAATTTTGGAGTGTATACTTCCAAGGTTTTATATAATTGAGATTTTATAGACTAAGAATTTGTGATCAATGCTTCACTACCTGTTCCTTATTTGGTTGTGGTTTTGGAGTAGGATCACTTATTCGAAGGACTATTTAATCATAAATTATATACAACTTGTATACATTTTGCAATTTTAGGAGGACTCTGTAAGGATCACCCCATAATGTTTCACTTAAATCTCATAGATTCTTTAGACACTTCCATTCTCGCACGACAAACCCAGATAGATGTAACCACTTCCTCATAGTAGTCAACAGAAGAGTCAAGAAGGAACAAGAGCAAGTTCATGAGAAGTTTTCAAAGAAGGATCAACCGAAGTAACCAAAACGTCTTATGCGTCACGCTAATAAATAATAATCTTGGTTAACTTAATGAGTTAGTGGAGACACTGCTCACATTATGTGTTAGGATTATTTTCTTTCATGCAACTGGCAACAGTTATTCAGGTCACAGATATTCATTCGAGGATAGCCATTTCTAATTCATAAAGTTTATTTTGTATAGACTTCCTTTATGAATTGTTTCCAGAACCAGATACACTCAGAACTAGGATAACCTTGTCTTTCAGCTTTTGGCTTATAAACCACTCCTATAGACTTATTCCATGTCATCTTTGTATTCTTTTATAAAAGATGCCTCCTCGCAGATCAAACAGACGCACTACTCCGATAACTCCAAATCAACCGCCACTACCTCCGCCACAATTCGGTCCTGCTACTCTCCAAGTGTCACACCCTCGGCCGCCGGCAGAAACGCCAAGATGCACGACGTAAATCAGTAATCACAGTTATTAAACATACATTGAACAGTACAAATATAATTTTCTATTATAACCGAAATAGAAATTACATTGATAATGGCTATCACTAAATCGTGACACACGCCTAACAATTTGGCGTTTACAAATGTATAATACAATTAATGAAGAATCTTCTGAGCGAATACTTCCGATCTGTTAAATAACCTGAGAATACATGCATTTAAAATACGTCAACAAAATTGTTGGTGAGTTGTACAGGTTTTGAAGCATAGTACTTTTATAACCCAAAAGTGTTTGGTAAAATTTGGCTGGCTGGCCACCTTTTATAAATATTTACTTTTCTATTAAAAAGTATAAAATGATTGAGTTATAAAAATTTGTTATGACTCATTCATAAATACCATTTGTTCAAATCCAAATGTACAAGAGTTGGAAAATACATATAAGTAATTCAGACTTATATCAAAGTGTATTTTTATATAAACATTTTGAATATCAAATTATATAAAAATAGAAAATGGTACCCTTTGTGAGAACATAAAATAACCAATTTTATTCTTGAAACCTTATACAAGAATTTGTATCATTTATATGAAAAACTCATAAGTCTTGAATTTATGAACTTTGTAAAATCGTGTCGTGACAATAATTAAGTATTATCTGACTTAATTTGAAATCCGTCACTTAACTGGTGGGGCAAACTTCTCCCACATAAATATTGTGTTTTCTTATACAAACAAATGGTTTATATAAATAACTTATCTTATACAAGTTAATAAATCTTGTCGAGTCGTGTCATGATATTAATTAAGTGTTATATAACTTAATTTTTGGTATTGACACTTATCGCTTTGAGTCACAAGCTATCCCACTAAATACCGTTTCTTTCAACTAGAATGAGTGAACATAAACCCCGTATAAATCCAATATCGATTCTATACGGTAACGAAACATAACTGGGATTTTATAATGAAATCATAACCAAACTCGTGACACTATACTTTATTAATGCACCGACACCATAATAAGGCGTGCGTGCTAAAGTCATTCACCCCGTTGTAACATGTGGTAATGTTTCGATAATGCTAACGTCAGCGCCAAAATTCATCTCGTCAGATGTAGTTGTAGCTAGCAACTCCAGGCGGGCGGTCGTACTGTATAAGATCAATAATATGACACTTACACCCGACGTTAGTCGTTCCCTCGAGGATTAACGGTTATATATTGGAGAGTTTCTACTAAGTATTAAGATCTTAGCTTTCGCGAAACCCGGAAGAGTTTATAATGGATACTTAAACATATCGGATCTGGTATTCGGAATAGGTATGATAAACCTATATGGAATAGGTATGATGAACCTATATGGAGTAGGCATGATAAACCTGTATGGAATAGGTATGATAAACCTATCTGGAATAGGTATGATAAACATATATAGAGTAGGTATGATAAGCCTGTATGGAATAGGTATGATAAACCTATCTGGAATAGGTATGATAAACCTATCTGGAATAGGTACGATAAACCTATATGCAGTAGGTATGATAAACCTGTATGGAATAGGTATGATAAACCTATCTGGAATAGGTATGATAAACCTATATGGAATAGGTATAATAAACCTATATAATCCATTCTAAATTCATTGGATATTTAACATTATTCACCGTTTAGGACAACGATAATCGAAATTCTTATAACTTCAAGAATTTATCATACTAGATACGGTTCCGATGTTGTGTTAGCATAATAGCTAATTTTTGAATTTATCCAAGTTTGGATCGACCGTAGATCTACATTTCCCATATTTTATATAAATAATGTGAGAATATTTTTAATACATTTAATTTGGAATAAAGATAAAGTCTTTAAATACAATACTCGACAAGTATTTATTTCGTAAATAACGACTCTTAAGTCCTGAAGTCGATCATGTTATTTATTGCGATAAGAATAAATAACTAATATAATGAAGTTATATTTTTATAACTAATATAAAAATATATTAATAACTTCTCAATTCATTTTTACATTATCTTATATATATTAAAAGTTAAATCTTATAATTTTAACTAATAATTATATAATTTCATGAATTTAACCTTCCATCAATTATGGCAATATACTTTCATTTTATACACAGATAATAGTTTTGGTCATTATTATATCGTTCCATGCTTCCATGAGATACTTTATCTTATACATGTAAAGTCATCATTTTTGTGACTCATAATATCCACTTGTGTAATTATAGCAATCTACTTATAATCTTGTGATTTTTCTTAATAATTATATTTATATTTCAAATAAAGTATAAGTATATCAACTTATAACAATCTACTTTAACTAATGGATTTGCTAGTGATTTGTCACATTTTTAGATTGCTATTTCATAAACGTTTGACCAATAACCAAGTAAGATGTAAAAAAACTTGAAAATCATCAAACTTTAATAGACACGCATATATTCTACCCCAAATATTAAAACCGTAAAAGAGGGCCGTAGAAACTCACATTCGATGCGTGATCTCGATCCCGGTTCGTTTTTGGTGAAGCTTTACGCGATAAATCGCAACGTAACCATTCTTGGACTCTTAAACGTTTCCGGGTCTATATGGTTAAGTTTTAAACTAAAAGGGTCTCGTTTTCAATTATTTTTTATTTAAAAGAAAAGGCTATTTTGTAATTTTTTTTACTCAAGGGACTAAATCTGTAATAAATGATATCTAAAGGGACCATTTTTGTAAAGTCTAAGTCACATGAGAGTTGGTTTATAAGGTTTTCAAATCAGGGACTGATTTAAACTTTAAGGCCATAATGGAGGGACTGTTTTTGCCAACTGATACCAAATTTTGGGCAAAAGGAATCGACGCGGTCATACTCTTCATTCGTTCATCCAGTCGAGTCAAGGCAACGGTGAAAAGATCGAGCAAACGAATCAGCGGGGGTGAAGGGTCCGATCTCCGGTGACGATCGAGTAAATCACATGTAGGGGCGCCGGCCGATGGCGATCGTCGGCGTCTTCTTCCTCTTCTGGTTCGATTGGTAGCAAGCATAAAAAGTGGAATGATTGGGGGTTCTCCGATGGTGCTCGACGAATCAAAGGGAGGGGCTGCGAAGATCGATTGAAGGAGATTGCGAGCTTGCTTTCCGGCGAACCCTTCTCGTTCCCAGCAGCTCGTCACCGGCAACAATCCGTCAGAAGAGCGACAACATCATCAGTCGCCGTGAATGGGGGTTCAACAGTTTCGATTTGTGGGAGGAAAGGAAGAGGATGGTGGGTTAGGGTGGTGCTTCATCTACCGGAGGGGAGAAGAGGCTCCGATGGCCATTCAGGTTCCTCCTTCGTGATTTCATCGTCTCCAGTCAAAGATCGAGGAAAGTGAGGCAGCAACAATAACGAATGAAGACCCAGGGGGAAACCGTTAGAGAGGTGGGATGGCGGCGATGTTGCCTTGGCTCGCCAGCAGTCGCCTTCGATGGAGGATGTCCCCGACGGAACTGCTTTGACCTCCGGTAAGTAGTAACAGTCGATAATTGAGGTGTTTGTCTGGTTTGTTTGATAGGTACCAAGGATGAACTTTGATGTTTGGGTTTTGGTGTTTAATCAGGGAATGGAAGCAAGGATTCACTTTGTTGTGAATTTGATGTTTGATAGGAAAAGGAACAAAGAAAAACAAAGGGGGTATGAATTCTGATGGCCGGAAAACTCCAATTCCGGTGGTTCTTCTTCCATCGTGAGAGAGAGATGGAGAGAATGGAGTGAATTGTTGTAGAAGGAAGAGTGTCAGGGAGGGTAAGACAACTTGTTCCAGCTAGTTGTGATCTTATTCCCGATTTTTGTAGGTGAAATTAATGATGGATTGTGTACTAAAATCTTTGGAATGATCTTGCAGAGTACATTTCTTTGCATTATTGGTTTTTATTTTAACATGTGGGTGTTTTTGTGTGTGAGAAAACTTGTCAAATACATGTATCTAAAATACATGTATCTCTTCATGTATTGAATTGTTATTAGGCTTGATATGTATTAATAGTTTCCTTAGTGTCATGTACATATGTGTATTTATGTGTGTATTTGGAATGACACTTAACATACATACATATATATATATATATATATATATATATATATATATATATATACATATATATATATATATATATATAGTGTTTTTATAGGCTTTTAATTACTTAACATATGCACATTGGGTTTAACATAATTGTGTACTTGTTATATGTAATATGGATTTTATAAGAACTTTAGCCACCACATATTATATTGTTTGAAAAATACGCTCTTCACACATATATGTATATAAATGTACATGATTTTTGAAATATTGGACTATTTTATCGTGAAGATTCGCAACCACCGAATTCGATTTCCAAACCATTTTCGACATGAATTACGAATAGTAGAAACCATGTTGAAGTCAAAATTTTCAGGTTTCACGCTCAGTTTGGTACGATTCTATGGTTTTCATGCCACTGATTCCCGATTGTAAATTAATGTTTAAAATGAACTCGGGTGAAAAATCATAACTCTTTCGGTTCATAATATATAATTTTTGAGAAATTAATCGTAATGCCATTTAAACTTATTTAATAAACATTAGCGTATCGTATATTTGCTTTAGATTATAGCAACGCTTACGGTAACTGATCGTCAATAGTTGACCAAATTTGTCAATTGTTACATTATCCTCCTGTTGAAAGGAATTTCGTCCCGAAATTTACGTGTAGATAAAACATTATAAAATAATTGGTGGAGTTTTCTTTTTGCTTGATCATACATGATCATTCTATGGTCGATTTAAGTCGCATTGATCTAGGTTAGATAATCGATCCAATAGATGACTTAACCATAAGTGACAACCCAATCAGGGAATAGGGAATACGATCGAATCCAATATTTTTAAAGGTTGTCGCATCTTATATACAATTCTACCGCGTGTACTTTCCAAATTATGAAATATTTGCACGATTTCTCTAGTTCACTTCACTGAGAGAGATAACAAGTTTGTCATTGGATCGACACTCCTTGAGATTTGGCATATGAGAAAGTGTCATGAATGTTGTTTAGTTTTCGAGATAAATTGATATAAATATCAAGGCCAAATTCTATTAAGAATTTCTAAGGTCCTTTGAGATGCATGTTTAACCTGCCTCGTTCCCTGAACCGAACCGTTCTTGTTAAAGGGAAATCTTTTTAAAGCTACACAGTCTCCGACTTGGAAGTCGAGAGGCTTACATCTTTTCATCACATAACTCTCTTATGATTCATGATCAGTCTAAAATCTTCCTCTGGTTCCCACAATCTTTTCTTGATCTTGTAAGTAATTCATGGATCCAAATGTAGCATATCATCTTCATATTTTTTTGTTCAGTCTCGTAACTCCAATCATTGTTCAAAATATCGAGGATTGACACTCTCGCCCATATAAGGATTCAAATGGTAATCTCCGCTTTCATGCATGTTCATCACTTCAATTCTTTCAAATCTAAGCACATTAGGTCAGAGCCTTGATGAATGGACACTTTAACATGTAAGCTTTATTCAAAAGTATGCCCACGTGTTCACTGTACTTAGGGGTATAGATTTGGTTCATAAAGTATCGCGTCCTGTCATCTCTGATCTTGACCTGTTTATTCATCCTTCATAGAGCTTCATTCGTGAAGCCTTTCCTTTCTCAGAGTCTCGAGTTAAACTTCTCGAATTTGAGTTGTAGGTTGTGAATGGATATTCATAGTCAATATTCGTACCCAGCGGGGTTTGGTACATTATTTTCGGATCAAGACATTTGCTACTATGTCAATCTTATTATAGAGTTAACGAATCTCACACTTCATGATGACAGAAAATTTCTCACTTATGTCATTCAACCAAAAGCATAGGCAAAAACCCTGCCTCAATTCATCTATGTGCACCTCAATCCTTTATGTTCGTGTCGTCACATACGAACAAGTTTTTTGTTATTTCAGAAAGGTAGGATTGGTGTGTTACACCATAGTTGTTCCAATTTCTGGAATACTATCTCTTGCTTATCTTTCCAGTTAGAGTTTGTTTCCTTTTGGTGTTAACATAGTTGACGGTTGGGCTACTATAGGGAAGTTCCTGATGGATCACTGGTAGTAGCCAACATAAATTCTTTTGTTGTTAAAATTCCAGCGTTCATTTCTTGGGAAGAAGTCTTCACTTATACTTCCACATTTTATCAAATCCTTCAAATTTGATTAAATTCTCCATATATTTTATCAAATCCTTCACATTTGATTAAATCCTTCACAAGGTTGCTTAAATCATGGTGAGCCAAGAAGTTCACAACAGTCCATCGTTTGATTTTTTTAGGGTAGGAAGAAAACTTTAGGTTTTTCTCCGACTTGTCATCATAAATGACCACGGTTTTCTCATAGGTAGATTTGGTCGTACAACTTTCTTGTAGTACAGATCTAGACACAATGGGAAGGTAGTCGATTCATACCTATGATAATGTCCAAGCTTCCACTCGGAATTGGTATAAGGTCTATAAGTAAAGATCAATCGTTCATAGTTATTTTATCGTTTAAAAAGGGAGGGCTGTATAACGACTTGACGTGACACAAACAAAACCGTGTCATATAAACAATGATATCAGACTTTAGGTGACATGCGCACGAGATTGACATGACAAACATGATTTGGTAAGTGCTAGGATGAAATTTAATAAAATTTCACGAGTAGATTTTCGACAGTTCACCAGTTGTCTATGCTCTCCAGGTTTTCTCCAAACAACTAGGTTCATGACTCAGAATAGGTTTAAGTTTAGGGTTCACGGATATTTCGATCCACGTCTGTATCACAATTACGTAAGTATAAAAGTGGTTAATGAGAAACACACTAGTCACTACCGATGGTTCCTAGATTTCATTCCTTGTTCCGATCACAATTACTCTATCTCGAGTGGTTACCTCCTGGTTCTTCAGCCTTGGGCAGTTTCACCCTCTTCATAACAAGCTTTACTTTAACTAGTGCTTGTTCTAACTTCTATACCTCACTTCCATATGCATCACCTGTGGTGCTTCTCAAGTCGTGGCATAAGCATAGTCAATGCCCACGATTTACACATAATAGTTCTACTTGGTAAATTTTGTGCCTTTAAAAGTGTAGGTGATAGCTAATCACATTAGTTTTCTACACAAGAGCTGACATGAAATATTGATTCCATATTTTTGCTCTAGGGATTCATTCCTACAATCCATTCAATGCTGTAGAAGGATCTAGGTTGATGTCACTATTACTTCCAGGTTTGTTGCATACAAAATCTACCTTGTCCCGAGTCGTTGTTCATGTTGACTTTGTAAGAGACCAAGATGCTAGATACTAGTTGTTCGATTCATTATCTCAATCGTAATTGCGGCAAGCGATTGTGCTGGTGTTGGACGATCACCGACTGGTCTCTTGTGAGACATATCTTTTTCTCACTACAATTAGTTTAAGGGGAAATGAGTCGCGTGAAAATATCGATGTGTATATAAACGATAGTGCTTAAATTATGTCAAACGTGTAGAATTGTCGTGGGTTTGCTCAAGATTGACTCTACTATGAGTATTATATGCAACACACTTTTACAGTACTAACAAGGGTGAAACTTTACACTTGGAACGAGTGAGAAGAAACCACCAAGTATTGGGACAAATGGTACAAATTCACGAAGAGAATGTTACAGAGAAAGTTGACTACTGCCCAATGTTTTGACTATATCTTGAGTTTTGAAATTTTGATTCATTTGAATCGAGATATTTTGGAAACTAGGTAAGATTCCTAACAATCTTCATTTTTCATGTTTTTATCGAGTCCGATTTATTCTCCTTCAAAAAGGGTCACAAAAGACGAAGGGTAGGCGTAGGTGTCCTTTTGAACTTGGATAGTCCCATCATAAGTCATACGATTCACAACCAGAAACAAACAAAGTGACTGAATACCTAAACCAAATTCGAAATGATTCGCGAAGGTGCATATATTTTGCAAGGTGTTCCTACGAGATCTAACAGATGCATTCATAGGATATCATAGTTGAGTAATTAATATTCCAAGATAAAGTTCGGACATGATTTACGTTTATGATACTTATGTTTTTATTAGCATTTAAGGTAACTATTTTCCAAGTATTGGTAAAGTGTTCACTAAACTCTTTAAGAGTTCTCAAGTGTTTTGGAACTGTGATGTTCTTTAAATATTCTGGATTTCAAGCGTTTTAGTCTACCAACCGAATCCAAGCTTGATTGTGCATCGGTCCAACCATAATTAAACATAGGTGATCAGTCTACGTCTAGTTGTGTTTCGGCCCATGTACAACCAACTTAGCTAAGGTGTTTGACCTAAAACCTTGCATTGTATTGGCATTCAATGGTTCGAGTTTATATATGCATAACCCTATATTTGTGGGTTAAGGAATATATTTAACCTAAGAGAGTAAGCCCTAGGCTATAGATGCGCTTTCCTAAGAAAGTACTAGTTCACTATAGCCAATATCTCTGATACCAATCTGTCACACCCTCGGCCGCCGGCAGAAACGCCGAGGTGCGCGACGTAAATCAGTAATCACAGTTATTAAACATACATTGAACAGTACAAATATAATTTTCTATTATAACCGAAATAGAAATTACATTGATAATGGCTATCACTAAATCGTGACACACGCCTAACAATCTGGCGTTTACAAATGTATAATACAATTAATGAAGAATCTTCTGAGCGAATACTTCCGATCTGTTAAATAACCTGAGAATACATGCATTTAAAATACGTCAACAAAATTGTTGGTGAGTTCTACAGGTTTTGACACAGAGTACTTTTATAACCCAAAAGTGTTTGGTAAAATTTGGCTGGCTGACCACCTTTTATAAATATTTACTTTTCTATTAAAAAGTATAAAATAATTGAGTTATAAAAATGTGTTATGACTCATTCATAAATACCATTTGTTCAAATCCAAATGTACAAGAGTTGGAAAATACATATAAGTAATTCAGACTTATATCAAAGTGCATTTTTATATAAATATTTTGAATATCAAATTATATAAAAATAGGAAATGGTACCCTTTGTGAGAACATAAAATAACCAACTTTACTCTTGAAACCTTATACAAGAATTTGTATCATTTATATGAAAAACTCATAAGTCTTGAATTTATGAACTTTGTAAAATCGTGTCGTGACAATAATTAAGTATTATCTGACTTAATTTGAAATCCGACACTTAACTGGTGGGGCAAACTTATCCCGCATAAATATTGTGTTTTCTTATACAAACAAATGGTTTATATAAATAACTTATCTTATATAAGTTAATAAATCTTGTCGAGTCGTGTCATGATATTAATTAAGTGTTATATAACTTAATTTTTGGTATTGACACTTATCGCTTTGAGTCACAAGCTATCCCACTAAATACAGTTTCTTTCAACTAGAATGAGTGAACATAAACCCCGTATAAATCCAATATCGATTCTATACGGTAACGAAACAAAACTGGGATTTTATAATGAAATCATAACCGAACTCGTGACACTATACTTTATTAATGCACCGACACCATAATAAGGCGTGCGTGCTAAAGTCATTCACCCCGTTGTAACACGTGGTAATGTTTCGATAATGCTAACGTCAGCGCCAAAATTCATCTCGTCAGATGTAGTTGTAGCTAGCAACTCCAGGCGGGCGGTCGTACCATATAAGATCAATAATATGACACTTACACCCGACGTTAGTCGTTCCCTCGAGGATTAACGGTTATATATTGGAGAGTTTCTACTAAGTATTGAGATCTTAGCTTTCGCGAAACCCGGAATAGTTTATAATGGAAACTCAAACGTATCGGATCTGGTATTCGAAATAGGTATGATAAACCTATATGGAATAGGTATGATGAACCTATATGGAGTAGGTATGATAAACCAGTATGGAATAGGTATGATACACCTATCCGGAATAGGTATGATAAACCTATATGGAGTAGGTATGATAAACCTGTATGGAATAGGTATGATAAACATATATGGAGTAGGTATGATAAACATGTATGGAATAGGTATGATAAACCTATCTGGAATAGGTATGATAAACCTATATAACCCATTCTAAATTCATTGGATATGTAACATTATTCACCGTTTAGGAAAACGATAATCGAAATTCTTATAACTTTAAGAATTTATCATACTAGATACGGTTCCGATGTTGTGTTAGCATAATAGCTAATTTTTGAATTTATCCAAGTTTGGATCGACCGTAGATCTACATTTCCCATATTTTATATAAATAATGTGAGAATATTTTTAATACATTTAATTTGGAATAAAGATAAAGTCTTTAAATACAATACTCGACAAGTATTTATTTCGTAAATAACGACTCTTAAGTCCTGAAGTTGATCATGTTATTTATTGCGATAAGAATAAATAACTAATATAATGAAGTTATATTTTTATAACTAATTTAAAAATATATTAATAACTTCTCAATTCTTTTTTACATAATCTTATATATACATTAAAAGTGAAATCTTATAATTTTAACTAATAATTATATAGTTTCATGAATTTAACCTTCCATCAATTATGGCAATATACTTTCATTTTATACACAGATAATAGTTTTGGTCATTATTATATCGTTCCATGCTTCCATGAGATACTTTATCTTATACATGTAAAGTCATCATTTTTGTGACTCATAATATCCACTTGTGTAATTATAGCAATCTACTTATAATCTTGTGATTTTTCTTAATAATTATATTTATCTTTCACATAAAGTATAAGTATATCAACTTATAACAATCTACTTTAACTTAATGGATTTGCTAGTGATTTATCACATTTTTAGATTGCTATTTCATAAACGTTTGACCAATAACCAAGTAAGATGTAATTTTGTATATAAAACTTGAAAATCATCCAACTTTAATAGACACGCATATATTCTACTCCAAATATTAAAACCGTAAAAGAGGGCCGTAGAAACTCACATTCGATGCGTGATCTCGATCCCGGTTCGTTTTTGGTGAAGCTTTACGCGAGAAATCGCAACGTAACCATTCTTGGACTCTTAAACGTTTCCGGGTCTATTTGGTTAAGTTTTAACAAAGGGACTCGTTTTCAATTATTTATATTTAAAATAAAAGCTATTTTGTAATGTATTTTACTCAAGGGACTAAATCTGTAATAATGATATCTAAAGGGACCATTTTGTAAAGTCTAAGTCACATGAGACTTGGTTTATACGGTTTTCAATTCAGGGATGATTTAACTTTAAGGCCATAATGGAGGGGACTGTTTTTGCCAGCTGATACCCAATTTGGGCAAAAGGAATCGACGCGGTCATACTCTTCATCCGTTCATCCATTCGAGTCAAGGGAACGTTTTAAACGATCGAGAAAACGAATCAGCGGGGGTGAAGGTACGATCTCCGGTTGACGATCGAGTTAAATCACATGTAGGGGCGCCGGCCGATGGCGATCGCCGACGTTTCTTCCTCTTCTGGTTCGATTGGTAGGCAAGCATAAAAAGTGGAATGATTGGGGGGTTCTCAGATGGTGCTCGACGAAATCAAAGGGAGGGGTGTTGAAGATCGATTGAAGGAGATTGCGAGCTTGCTTTCCAGCGAACCCTTCTCGTTCCAGCAGCAGCTCGTCCCGGCAACAATCCGTCAGAAGAGCGACAACATCATCAGTCGGCTGGAATGGGGTTCAGCAGTTTCGATTTGTGGGATAAAAGGAAGAGAATGGTGGGTTTGGGTGGTGCTTCATCTACCGGAGGGGAGAAGAGGCTCCGATGGCCATTCAGGTTCCTCCTTCGTGATTTCATCGTCTCCAGTCAAAGATCGAGGAAAGTGACGCAGCAACAATAACGAATGAAGACCTAGGGGGAAACAGTTAGAGAGGTGGGATGGCGACGATGTTGCCTTGGCTCGCCAGCAGTCGCCTTCGATGGAGGATGTCCCCGACGGAACTGCTTTGACCTCCGGTAAGTAGTAACAGTCGATACTTGAGGTGTTTGACTGGTTTGTTTGATAGGTACCAAGGATGAACTTTGATGTTTGGGTTTTGGTGTTTAATTGGGGAATGGAAGCAAGGATTCACTTTGTTGTGAATTTGATGTTTGATAGGAAAAGGAACAAAGAAGAACGAAGGGGGTATGAATTATGATGGCCGGAAAACTCCAATTCCGGTGGTTCTTCTTCCACCGTGAGAGAGAGATGGAGAGAATGGAGTGAATTGTTGTAGAAGGAAGAGTGTCAGGGAGGGTAAGACAACTTGTTCCAGCTAGTTGTGATCTTATTCCCGATTTTTTAAGGTGAAATTGATGATGGATTGTGTACTAAAATCTTTGGATGATCTTGTAGAGTACATTTCTTTGCATTACTGGTTTTTATTTAAACATGTGGGTGTTTTTGTGTGTGAGAAAACTTGTCAAATATGTATCTAAAATACATGTATCTCTTCATGTATTTGGTTGAATTGTTATTAGGCTTGATATGTATTAATAGTTTCCTTAGTATCATGTACTTATGTGTATTTAGAATGACACTTAACATATATATATATATATATATATATATTATATATATATATATAGTGTTTTTATAGGCTTTTAATTACTTAACATATGCACATTGGGTTTAACATAATTGTGTACTTGTTATATGTAATATGGATTTTATAAGAACTTTAGCCACCAAATATTATATTGTTTGAAAAATACGCTTTTCACACATATATGTATATAAATGTACTTGATTTTTGAAATATTGGACTATTTTATCGTTAAGATTCGCAACCACCGAATTCGATTTCCAAACCATTTTCGACATGAATTACGAATAGTAGAAACCGTGTTGAAGTCAAAATTTTCAGGTTTCACGCTCAGTTTGGTACGATTCTATGGTTTTCATGCCACTGATTCCCGATTGTAAATTAATGTTTAAAATGAACTCGGGTGAAAATCATAACTCTTTCGGTTCATAATACATAATTTTTGAGCAATTAATCGTAATACCATTTAAACTTATTTAATAAACATTAGCGTATCGTACATTTGCTTTAGATTATAGCAACGCTTACGGTAACTGATCGTCAATAGTTGCCCAAATTTGTCAATTGTTACACCAAGAAGCGATATCCTCCGCAGTGGCAACTGCTCTAGCTCACTTCGACGAAAGTGGTACCTTCGGATCTGGTAGCGGTACCCACTTAACCAACCTCGGAGTCACTCACGAACACACAAGGGAGTGTTCGTACAAGGACTTCATGAACTGCAAACCTAAATCCTTTAATGGGAATGGTGGAGTCATCGCTCTGAAGCGATGGTTCGCGAAAACAGATTCGGTCTTCGAAATCTGTTCGTGCCCACAAGGGAGTAAAGTTAAGTTTGCTGCCTGCACCTGGTGGAATAGCCATGTTAAGTCACTGACCCTAACAATAGCTAACTCTATAGGTTGGGAAAACCTAAAGGAGTTAATGTTGGAAGAATACTACCCGAGGGGCGAAGTTCAAAAGCTGGAACAAGAACTATGGGAGCACACTATGGTCGGATCGGACATGGTGACCTACACTGACAGGTTTAGCGACCTGGCAGCGCTATGTGCAGGGATGATTAGCACGGAAAGCAAGAAGATAGAAAGATACATCTGGGGTCTAACTGCCCCGATCCAAGGGATGTGCTATCTTCTAACCCAGCCACATTCGATAATGCCAAATACCTAGCTCAACGACTCATTGACCATGGAGTCCGCCATGGCGTGGTAGTCCCCGTTCCCGAGCCATCAAAGGGAGAGGACTACAAACGGAAGTCGGGGAATAAGAGGAAGAAGGAGCAAACAACACAGGAAACCCCATAAGAGCAACAAACGAGTACTATATACGCCGCCACAACACCTGCTACTCCAGCACCTGCCAGTCGATATGATGGAACCCTCCCGAAGTGTGGGAAGTGCAACTATCACCACACCGGAGTATGTCGGGAAATGCAGTGTCTGAACTGCCACAGAAAGGGACACACAGTCCGTTTCTGCAGGGCACCGGCTCAACCGATCTCCCATGTCCCCGGAGCTGAAGAAAACCAAGCCTGCTATGGTTGTGGTGAGACTGGACACTACCAGAGGGACTGCCCGATAACAAAGAACTGAGGAGCGGATGGACGAATTCTGATGATCACCGCAGGAGAATCAACCCCGGAGTCGCCAGCGAGCAGCGGTACGTTTTCGAATTTAAGAATTACTTTAAAAATTAATTTATATTTATGTAATATTAAAACTTGGGGAAAACACTTAAAAGTAATTATAATAACTCACTTATCAGAACAAGTCACAGTATTCAAGAGAACTAAAAGATCCGTTCAGCGAAGCTATGATGGCTGAGTATATACATCAGGGTTGTGCATAACTAAGATTTTGCAGACCTAGAGTGAGTGATTCCGCCCTTAATTCATATCCTTGTTTGGTTGTGGATTTGAGGTTAGAGTTACTCAGTCGACCGTCTTATTCATCTTAATATCATAACTTGTATATGACAGGCGATCATAGTGGTACCGAGGAGGATCGTAGTATAAAGTAACGACACTAGTTATCAAAGCACTTTCATAGTATGTACTCGCTCATCGCGGTACGATACGTGGAAGTGTTAACATCAAGGAGAAAACAGAAAGCACATAGAACATTTACAAAGAGTACATTTTCGAACACACTAAGGGTACATCATCGTATAACAGACATTTCTTTCAAATCGGCCAAAACATTTGTTCAGTAAAGAGTCCGCTACTATCATTTGTCATGAATTGGCGTGGTCCTCACCATACTAAGTTCATATGTTTCTATCGCCTCGACCGTTAAATTCACGAAACTTTCGTCATTTGTAACGACAGTCCGACCTAAACCTCAGTTTTGTCCTTCGTATTCTAAACCCCGAAGTACTCATGTGAAGAGTACTTTGTTGTCCAAAACCTTGCCGCCGTATGTTCAACAGACCTTCCCGAAATACCACTCAGTCAGCAGAGCAAGCTCAAGCACAGAGACTAAGAACGAATACAGCCCACCTATCACTATTCAGTGTATACGCGAGAGTGGTATATGATTGTGATTACGCAGATTTAGTATGTGTGCTTCCGCCCTATCTCCTGTTCCTTGTTTGGTTGTGGACCTGGGGCAGAGTCGCACATTCGACCGTCTAACTAATCTTAATTATATACGACTTGTATACACGAGGTAATGATAGATGGACCAAGTATGAATCCTATCATGAACAATAGGGCAGTGTTCCCAGGTCTACGAGTGGATATTCTGCCAATCAGAGAAGCGCAACCCCAGTTGTAACGCTAAGAAAGCTAATTTCGGGACGAAATTCTATCTAACAGGGGGATGATGTGACAACCCGAAATTTTTTGCCTCGTAAGTCCAACCATTCAATTCAACCATGTGTCAGACTCGTTTCTGCTATCTTTTAGCCATGTTAAGAGTCTGTTTGAGTGTTCTAAGCCTAGTACATTCAAGGAATGAGTGTTAGGAAGTACCTGCTAGAGTCACTGTACAACATTCAAGCCTTAAACACCACCAAAAGGAGTTAACAGCCATAACACATGAGTTTACGGCCGTAAACTCAAGGTTGGCCGTAAACTCCCCCCATAAGTCTCATTTCCTTCACTTTTCTTTCATTCTTACACTTTCAACTCAAGAAACTTCCATTCTCTCTCAAGTGTCATCAAGTTCTTCACTTTGATCTTCAAAAAACGTAAGTGTTGCTTCCATCTATTTTTTGTTATCCTTCTTAATCTAGTATCATCCTTTGATTTCATCCATGGAAATCATCTTTTTTGGGTAGATCTTCAAGATCTTCATCTTTCACCAAGAATACACACTTATTCTTGGTGGCCGAAAACTCCTCTAAGGCCCTCAAAAGTGTGAGTATTCCATCTATCATCTAGTTAGACATATTAAACACTAGCTCATAGTCTTGAAACATCATCAATCTCATAAACGTCAAGAGTTTACGGCCGTAAACTCTTGGTTATGGCCGTAAACCCTTGTTTTGGTCATGTCTTGAGCCTTAAACACTTCTAGACACTTGTTATCCATTAGGACACTTGAACCTTTGAAACCCCTTTGATTTAAGACCCAAAATGACACCATTTGGAGTGTTTACGGCCGTACACTCTTAGTATGGCCGTAAACACCTCAACACCTTCTAAAAAGTTAGTATTGCTCATCCTCTTGTAGAGCATTGTCCCACAAGCTTTCCTCTCATTCAATCACCCTCTTGTGCACATTTTACCATGAGTTTACGGCCATAAACTCCATGGCCGTAAACCCATGGCCGTAAACACCAATTAGTGGCCATAAACATCCCTTTGATGAATCACATGTGATTCTAACACTTGGTCCAAGTGTTTCCTAGTCCCTAAGGGTGTTTCCTTGCATGTTAGTTGCTTATAAACACTATATTCATGCCAATACATGCCATATATGTCATTTAGGACTTGTTTGTGTCTCGGGACTTCATTCATGGAACTTCTCATCCTTACGTGCATATTCGTTTGAATCACCCACATAAGGAGAGTTCATACCCCTATAATCAATCTTTTAAACTGTTTTAAATGCTTTTAAGGGGGGGGGGTACAAGTTGAACACAATGATAATTGTGTAAATGTTTGTTATAAACATCTTTCAAAAGATTACATATGTCTTTTATGATACTTTATAGTTTATAAAACTCCGTTTTTAAAGTACAATCATAACTTAGTAGATAAATGAGTCTTTTCAATAACAGTTCAAGTAAACATACTAGTAAACTATAATAGGTATAGTTTAGGGGTTCAGTTCACACTAGATACTAGAGCATACTATAAAGAGAAACAGGGAGG